GAGTATCCATCCAGTGATGTTGGCCACAAGGGCCCCCGTCCCACCTTATTCGAACGAGGTTGGGGTCGATATCTCTGAAATAGATATACTCGTACAACTCAAGGTGGCTGTAAATCTCATTGGCAAGGTTCTCTCGTACGAGTTGTCACATCTCCTGGTCCCCGTAAATGTAACTTGCTATAACCCGAAAGCCACAGTTACCATCCGCTTTCACGTTCAAGTAGCTCACTACGTGCTCCAACATATGCCAGGGAATACTATTCACGAATTCAAAACCAAATATATCTGTCGACATACCAGCTGAAACATCATAATAGTACTTTTACGTCACAATTTATATAATATAATTTGTATTAACACTTAATTAACGTTCAGTTGTATAAAAAAAAATATGTCACCTTGTGGTGCCTCTTGTGACGGTTGAGAAGACTGGCTGCTTGTGGGTCCACGCGAAGAATTGTTTGTCGTTCCGCGCGAAAAAGTGTTTGTCGGTCCACGCGAAGAAGTGCTTGTACGGCCCACTGGATGACCTCTCGAATTATCCCTGTACTCCCAGCGCGATGGTTTACGCTTAGTCGAATTGGTTTTCTTGGGACGACCTCGTGTATTTTCCTTAACCTCAGGCTCTGCATAAGTTTGTTGCTCCGGGTAAAGCTGAGCGTACATGAGGTGATTCATGTAGCGAATCGTCGCTGGATCGCCCTCTTCAATCTCCTGGACAAACGTCCGAAATACATCAACATCTGTCCATGTACTCTGGTTATCCTGCCTCTGGTTATCCTGGCTCTGGCGATCTGTCCCTACAAGTGTGTACAGAAAAAAAAAGTTCAATGAATTTAGCAACGTAATGTACTTTAATTTGTAATTAACAATGAATTAAAAAGTAAAAAATTGTAAATGAAACATTAACCTAGTTGTAACATCTCCAGTGTCTTCCAGAACTCGTGGATATCACTCAATTCAACTGAAAGGTCAGAATCAAATGTCGTACGAAGCGTACAAGCACATGAAATTCCATGAGTGGTAAGCAATACACAACTGCAGCGCTCGTAAACTTCATAGCTCAAGTCTTTCATCCTCGTCAACTCAGAGTTCAATATGTCCAGATAGTAATGCGAGACCCTCAGTGTCAAACACGCGAAAGGGAATCCCGTAAACCCCGTATACCTCCTAAGTCTCGAAGACTCAAGCGATGTCCTGGTAATATATTACAAAACATTATATTTATTTTATAAATAAAACGAAATATCAAGAATTCTAATATATATAAAACGATCTAATACAGTTAAAAATAAGGAATGTACCTTATTCCAGTCATTTGGGACTGGATCTCCGCATCAATCTTCTGCCACACTGTATCGAGCGCGTCGGTCGACGTGCGAAGCCACCGCTTCAGCACAGAGTGTGCACTCTCCACCCTACATGAAGTTGTGTTGCCAAGATGTGTTACCCGGTTAGTCCAAGCTTTCACGAACTTCTCCTTGTGGACTAACCAAGTCCCCTCGACATAATCTAACACATCTACATGATTCCGGTATTTGACACGCAATTGAGCTATGGTCGTGTCGTACTCATCAACCGTACCAGCATCGGCAATCGCCTTCCACCTACCGCGCAAGAAACTCTGAGCTAATTTTTTATTTTTTCCAAGCAGCATGTAGAGTCTGTCTTCCACATCCTTGTTGATGTGCCACGTGCAGAGTAAGTGGGCAGACTGGGGAAAGTTCCTCCTAATAGGAGTCATTAAGACCAACTCTCTGTCAGTGACAACCACATTTGGATGTACCTGAGCAGCGGCGGATACAGAAATATTAATAAGACAGAGCAAAAATTGTTGAAATATTTTTACTATATTGCACAAAATACTTTTATTACTAATAAAATTAAATATTTTATTCTTACCTCAGAGCCTATCAGAAGTCTCAGCTTATGGAGAACCCAGTCATAACTGGCCTCTTTCTCGTCCTTCATGAGTGCGTACGCAATCAAGAAGTTATTGTTGCACGGAGTCATGCCAATCATCTCGACCAACGGCATCTTGTACCTGTGCAAATGAGACCAAAAAATATAATCTCATAAAATTTAATCGAACATATTAATTTATATTCATACTAATAACATATTTATAAATTAACACACCTGTTTGTTTTGTAGGTGGAATCTATGCCGACATACAAATAATATGTCCGGAATAGTCTGACTGAATGAGGATGGGCCATGAATATGTGTGTCAAGGCATTTGTGTCCGGATGGACATCTGTATAAACTATATAGCTGCTGCTCCTAGCCAAATGTAGAAGCTGGGTAGTAATGTCTCTACCCTCAAAACTCTCCTTCCACAACATGTCTCTATAGTTATATATATGTCGCACAGTCGCGTGATCTCCTGGATTTTTTTTCTGGACAGCGGCCAAAATATTTGCTGGTGTCGCCTGCGCAGCAGTCATATCACGAATCATCTTCTTTGATGACTGGCTGATGCCGCTCGACTGTCGATGGCTCTCGGGATACACAGCAAATGAATGATTGTGGAAGCCCTTCTCTTCGTTTAGACACTTGTGGATCATCCAGAATTGCGTTCCGGGCACCCGCTTTACTCTTATCTCAAAAGGGCACTGGCACTTGTTGGTTTTCGATTTTCTAGAAGCAACATCTACCTTCTTCTTGCCTCTATAACGTTCGCCTCGTTTGCACTTCAAGATTTTCAACCTTCCTCCTTTTGTGTGTTTCGAAATAGTCAAATTGAAACCATTTAGAAGTGCCGTATTTTTTGCATCATCAATCGCAGCCTCATCACTAACAAAAAATGTAGATGTATTGAAAGCGGAACTGTAATCAATACCATCTCCTCCAAAATCTTCCAATGACACCTGCAACATATTACAATATTTCAAACATGTTAAATATAATAATTTATAACTCCTAACACGATAATGTCTAACGTTCAATTTATAACTCCTAACGCGACTCGCGAGTTTAAAAGAGCCGAAACAGCCAAAATTCGCGACTCGCGAACCGAAAATCGCGAGTCGCGAGGGCATTCGCGACTCGCAACATCATGTCGCGAGTCGCGAGATCATTCGGGATTACTCTCGCGACTCACGAGACGAGGTCGCAAGTCGCGAGATTCTGGCACTTTTGCCTCTGTCCAACTCGCGACTCGCGAGCGGAGTCGCGAGTCGCGAGATTATGTCGCGACTCGCGAGATAAGGTCGCGAGTCGCGAGTTTGACAGAGCAAAAAAAAATCCAAAATTCGCGCTGCACGACTTCATCTCGCGAGTCGCGAATACACTCGCGACTCGCGAATTAATCTCGCGGTTCGCCAGATTTGGGTGTTTTCCTATGCTAAAATCGCGAGTCGTGAGTTTTACAGAGCCAAAACTGTCAGATTCGGTTTCTAACTCCTAAAGCGATAATATCTAATGTTCAATTTATAACATAATTATTTCGACTCGATAACATAATAATTTCTAATCCCTAAAACAATAATATCTAACGTCCAATTTATAACATAATTATTTCGACTCGATAACATAATAATTTTTAATCCCTAAAGCAATAATATCTAACGTCCAATTTATAACATAATTATTTCCATTCGATAATATAATAATTTCTAATCTCTAAAGCAATAATATCTAACGTCCAACTTATAACTCGTAACAGGATAATATCTAACGTCCAATTTATAACATAATTATTTCGATTCGATAACATAATAATTTCTAATCCCTAAAGCAATAATATCTAACGTCCAACTTATAACATAATTATTTCGATTCGATAATATAATAATTTCTAATCCCTAAAGCAATAATATCTAACGTCCAATTTATAACATAATTATTTCGATTCGATAATATAATAATTTCTAATCCCTAAAGTAATAATATCTAATGTCCAATTTATAACATAATTATGTCGAATTTATACCACAATAATATTTTCTATAACAAAATAAATTCTGATAATATTTTATTTAAAAAAAAAGGTGTCCGGCCGGTCAGACCGGACGGACCGGCTACGTCCGGCCGTCGTCGCCGGACACCACATGGGCCGTACGGCCGGTCTGACCGGACACAGACCGGTTCGTACGGCCATACGAGCCGTACGTGCCCCTTTATGCCTGGCCGGACGCCGTTAATGTCGTCCGGTTCGACCGGCCGGACAGGCCCGGTTCCGTCCGTTTTCGTCGGCCGAACAGGAAAAAAAAAAAATACCTCAGAGGAAGAACTCATTTTGCTGTAAGAGAAAAATGAAAAGGGCGAAATCGTCCAAAAAGAGACGATAACTAGTAATAGAGGCGGTAATTAGTAACACCCTCCTTCCATCATTTATGGAAAAACATGGAAAAAAAATTAAAAGGGCACCTGGAGTCCTCGAAAACGGCCACTTTGCACACAAAATTTAATGGTTTAATTTTTCATATATCTAAGGTAGCCGTTGCACCTTCCCCTTTCATATTAATCTTTACACCAACTAACCCGTGACTACTTCTTCTTCTTCTTCACTTCCTCGCCCTACACCTAAGACGCTCTGCTCTGCTCTGCTCTGCTCTGCTCTCCTTTTCTTTTGCACAATTACAAGATTCAAAAGCAAAAAACCCTTCAATTTTCCTTCTTCCAAATGTCTTCCACAATCGGAGATTCCACCACCGCCCTCTCCACCCCACCACCGTACTGCATCTCCTCTCCGGCGGCCACCACCATCGTCACCACCAGCAGCAGCAGCGGCAGAACCAGCACCAGTTCCAGCTCCGACGAAATCTTTGAAAACCCTTTCTCGGAAAAACTCAATCCCAATTCCAATCTGAACCCCAGCAAGATTCCAAGATCGCCCCTTTCTTGTTCCTTCTCCCGCCCCTACAAACAGCTGGCCGTCCTCTCGGGCCACGTGGGCCCGGTTTCCTGCTTGGCCCTGTGCGGGGAGTTCGTCCTCAGCGCCTCCCAGGGCCGTGACATCATCGTCTGGCAGCAGCCCGACCTCAGGCGGTTTGCCCAGTTCGGGTTTGGTTCGGGCTCCGTCAAGGCCCTCGTCAGCTACGGGAACAAAGTCCTCACGGCCCACCAGGACACCAAGATCCGTGTCTGGAAAGTCTCGAAGAGCTCGGAAAACGTCTTCAA